CTAGAAGAGGTCTCCAACGAGCAACAGCTTTCTGTTGTTATTTTAGAATAGCGATTCTCTGCCAGAGTTCTGTGGTACCCTGGGATGCCATGAGATCCTTTTAAAGCACCATGGGATGGCCTAACAATAAGAGCACTGTCAAGTTTGCAAACACCTACACGATTCACAAATTAAAACCAGAGATTTCAAACAGGAGTCCATAACGTCAAAAACATTCTGATCTGTTGCAGTCTTTCTGACTTCTTTTCAACAGCATTGCCCTATTGTTTTTCTGTAGTCAAAAAAAACCCAAGTAAAAGCTGAGAACTGACATTTTTATGGGATGTTTTAAGTCTGAAAAGGTTGAGAACCACTGTTTACTGTTTCTACATACCTCTCCTTCTCTCAAAAGGAGTTTGTGCCATTCCGTAACACATCACATGCAACCTCGTACGAAACTCCCTCTTAAAACGTAAAGAAAATGCCAAAAGTAGTACTGGATGAAGACCAACACAAGCCATGAAGAAACCTATGATATCTGGCTTTTAATATACCAGATAGAGAGGCACTTAATTAGGGATGTTGGCCAGTATATCTGAGAATTCACTGTATTTCAGCTGCATGAAATGCCAGTAAACCACAGGCACAAAAAGTGGAATGTATAAGAAACAAGAAGCAGGAAATGATGTGTGCACAGAGCCGCCGGCATAGAGGGGAGGACAGAAACATAGCATCCTAGAAACAGCAGGGTAGGAGGAGGGCACGCAAGAAACTTGGTGGGGGGAACAGAGAAAAGCAAGCAGCCCTCGGGGCATGCAACATACTCAGCTTGTGGAAACAAAGCACCATCCTACCCCTAGTTTATTTTTAATCCCAGCAAGGCTTTTACATAAAGGAAAACTGCTCAGCTAAGTGGTTACCACAGTACAGTCACAATGGTGAGCTGGTGACAGTTGTTTCCCTGGCAATAGACTGACGTCAAAATAGACCGTGTATTTGGCTCCGAGTTCCACTAGATGGAGAAGCTGGGCTTCACCCTTTACACCCAAAGTTTAGTTGTGTCAAATGCTCAAATTTCCAAATGAAAAAAATGCTCAGTTGTTGCCCTTATTCAGGGACCCAAATTCTTTCTGCACAGGAGACACACAGGCAATCTAGACTCCTATGCCTATGAAAGAAGAAAGCATGCTAGGAAAAGGAAAGACCTAAGGAATCTAAGATTACAAAGGATTCGGTATTAAATGAAGAGGTTTCTGAAAATTTGAGAAATATCACAAAGCTTTTCTTACTACTTCTGCCTTTCTAATCGCTCACTAGCATTTTCACAGGAAAAACAGGCATATGTAGCTTTCAAAACTAAATCTAGAAAGCTGTGAAATGACCCGCTGGTCTCTAAGCAACAACATAACAACACCGAAACAGACAACCGCTCACAAGAAACATGCTATCACGTCACACAGGCAATTGGGAACACGTCAGCTGTGTACACAAGTCTGCTCAGTAAACACTGGTGTCTACAGCGATTCTACAATTCAGCAACATCTGAAAGTTTCTGAAGTAGTGATTAACTTTATTACTGTCAAAAGGCAATTACATTGTTCAACTCATGTTCATGGGATATACGCTTCTTCCCCAAAATAAAGAGCAATTGAGAAGAATGGTCCACCTGGCACAAAGTGGGATTTTCCAGCAACTGGTAAACTAGTTTTCTAGTCAGTGCAGCAGCTTGCTTGTCAATATGGGGGTTTTTTTCAGTCCTGCTACACAGGGTAGGCAAGTGTTACTCCTACAAACTACAAGGCAGGACAGGAACAATGGAAACAGAGTACGTACGTCTTTACCCTCTATTCTCTAAAAGGGACTATTCCTCCCATGACTCTGTGCCCCTCTCAGATTTCAACCTTTTATCTTCATAAATGTCAAGGCCATCTGTTCAAAGAATATTCAGGCTGGTGTTTAAAATAACACACAATGTACGTCTCTCTACCCAATTTTGTTTTTTAATAACTGAATTTTTTTGTCTCAACTTTCAAACCCCACCAAGGGAAAAGCATACAAGCTGGAAAAAATATCCCACTTGAATGCTGCAGAGATCAAAACAAAAGATTAAAATGGAATCATGTAGGCAAAATTGTATTAGGATTCTATACCGCCCCCCCAGTATGATAATTAGCTGTTTCTTTTTAATGGAGTAGTTACATCATGAAAATTCAAGACTTCCTCATACCAGATGGAGACAGAAACTGACCGTTCAGCTTTGGGTTTGTATATTAAAGGGAGACACTATACTAAAGTTCCATGCGCAGAACAGACATTAAGGAACTGGAAATCATAGCTCTGGACAAGACAATTAGAGCCATGCAACTTAGGCACACAGTAGCCGCATGTCTGAAAAGACCAGAGGTTTGTGTGCTCAGATGATGCCAGCCCCCCCCTTAATTTTGGGATGGTTTAGACAGTGACAATCCTCTTCGAAGGAGAGAGTAGAATGGATGACCAGCCCTGTTTTCCTATCACTTGAAATTTGATTCCCCTTTTTCACCAAAGTACACAGCTGAAAGACCAGCACAGCAGCAAGTCTCCAAAACAACAAAATGCCTTTGTTCATAAAGTTACCTACCTTCATTGTATGGCACTGGATCACCAATATTTCCACGAACCACATCAGCAGTTTGCAGAACCTCTAACTCCATCAATATAACCACTCTCCTAAAAACAGAACAGATGGCAAGATACTCTACGGTTATCTGTCTTTGTCTGTCATAGGCTGCAAGTTTCTTTTCTGCATACATAAAGGCACTACAATCACTATAGAATAGGTGCCCTGGGGAAGCTAATGTAAGGAGCAAACAGCTTCATTACCCACCAGTTTACAACATTCAGTAAATGCAAGCACAAATGGTGTGGACTGAAACAAAACAACCTGAACAGTGTACATGAAACAGACGTGGGATAACAATTATTGCTATTTGCAAAGCCCTAAAAAACTGTGCCAGATTCCTTATATACTACCTGTCTTAAAAGTGCAGACTAAGTACAACTACGCATGCAATACAAAAGGCAACCTGAGGGAGAAGAGAAGGGTGGCAATAAAAGTTACCAAGATTTTGCACGTGCCTGAATTGCAAGTAATTTTGAAGGTTTTGTTACTTTGTCACAGACTGCAATGGGGTGTTGGGGGAGAAAGTAGTCCCTTAGGTACATCGGGCCCAGACGAATTGGTTAAAACTTTAAATTGCTCCCAGAAAACTATAAGGGAGCCAGAGTATACACTATGAGAACCCCCCTGGATACACCTATTGACTTCCCCCCAAACAAAGGCGCTTGAGCTCCTCCCTTTCACCCATTTGTTCAGCCAATTCCGTGAACATAAATATTGAAACAAACATAAATACCTTCCATCTTTCAGGCTGTTAACAATGAACCTGTTCACCTGGCAAACACAGTGGGCAGACAAGCGCTCCTCTTCAACTAGAGAGTTTAGCTGTGTTGCCAACATGAAAGCTGCAAAAGAAAACAAAAACCCTTGGAAAGCTGCTAGCAGGTGACAGTCCTAAAATGGCTAATTGCAACTTCTGTACTCAGATGAGTGGCACTGAAGAGACCTAAGGTGTACACATTATCACATATGCCAGCAAGAGTCATTTCTTGGCCATAAGCTGCATGTCAGCCACCCAAAGTTGGAGAACAGACTACAGCGTTCAGGCAGCGATTAACGTAATCAGATGTGTGACAGCATGAAAAATGATTAAACCGAGCCGCTAATTCCTCTCAGATCTCAGCGCATTTAGAAGACTCTGCTGATGACAGAACTGCTGCCCACAGTTAACAAACATTTTGGGTGGTCCATGACAAGACATCAGAAAAAAGATGACCGACCCCAGAACGGAAACTGACAATCCGCACCCACGCCCCTAACACCCCGGGGCCCCGCGCAGAAGCCTGGTGTCAACTCTGCCGTCAAGACAGATGCACGTTGACCCACGCGTTACACTTACACGAGAGCGTGTTCACCCCATCGCTCATCAGCAAGCGGTAGCGCGGAGGGCCGCTGCCCGTAGCAATAGCACGTGTGTTCTGCAAGGGAAAAGCAGGTGTCCTTAGGCCTTGCCCCACGTTATTTGCGAAACAAATGGCAAGATGACACCTCTTCTGAAGACATGAATGGTGGAGTGCTTTTTTTTTTGGTTTTTGGCTTCGCCAGCAACTAAAATGCATCGTTATAGGTCAGGTCCTCAGGAGCTTTGCACAGGCAATCTGCTCCCCGGCCCAGCTTCCCCCCGCCTGCTCGAGTCATGCCTCCGCACACCCTGGCTGACCCGCCCGCGCACAGAGCTGCGGCGACCGGGAGCAAGAGGACGCTTGCGCCAATACTCACGATGACTTGCAGCACTGGCTTGGTAATGGACTCCCCCTGCATGATGGCCTGGAAAGGGGGGAGGAGAAGGGAGAAGGTGAGACTTGGCACCGCCGGGGCAGGGATGGATGCAGGGAGAGAGACCGTGACTCCTTTCTCCCCTACAGCCTCCATCGGGAGCGGGTCGGGAATATGGTTTATACGTGGGTTTCCCTTCCTAGGAGTTTGGGTGGGAAGGGCCCTCAGCGGGTCCGAGCGCTGGGGGCACACGGCCGGCGGCGCGGGCTGCTCGGCCCCCCGCACCCAGGGGCTGGGACTGGGCGGGGCATTACACGCGGGCCCCGGCCCGAGGCAAGGGCACCCGCCGGCCACACGGCCCCTGACCCCCCCCCAGGGGACCCGCGCGCTCCTGTCCGTGAAAGAGGAACAGCCGCCGCCACGAGCCGGCCCGGCCGCGCCGAGCGGGAAGCCCGAGGCCCCTCACCGCGATAGCGCCCGCACTCAGACGCGCGGCCATGGCGACACCAGCCCACTCCTGCTCCCGCCGCGCCAAATCCCCCGCAGCGTGACCGGAAGTGCCGCGCCGCGCCGCGATTGGCTGAGGTACCGGAAGTGCCGCTGCCGTAGGGCGGAAGTGCCGGGCTGCTATTGGCTGGGGCGTGGGCAGACGGCCGTTGAGGGGATATGGCGCTGCCTGCGGAGCCGTGGCGGGTGCAGGTGGTGCGGCGCTGGGAGGCTTTAGAGCCGGCGCAGCGGGCGCAGCTGTCGGGCGCGGCCCCGCTGCGGTGCTGCTGGCGGCTGCTGAGGTGGGTGGCGGGCCGGGCCGGGCCGGGCCGGGGGAGGCGACGGCGACGGCGCGGCCCTTCCCCTTCCCCTTCCCTCCTCTCTCCTGATGCGCTGTCTCGCAGGCCCGAGGACGAGGCGCTGCTGCGGACACTATGTGGGCGGCGGGGCGCGGGCAAGGAGGCGGCGGCTGCTCGCTTTTACCGCCTGGCCGGCAACGCGCGCTTCCGCCGGGGTGACTTCGTGGCCGCCGCCGCGCTCTACTCCAAGGTAGGCCGCGCTACCCCCCACCCCCAGGTCTTGTCCGGCCCGGCCCTGACTGCTGTCCCGCTGCCCGCAGGCCGTGTCGCACGCAGCACCCGGCGGCCCCGAGCTGCCCCTGTGCTTCGCCAACCGCTCAGCCGCGCTCTTTCGTCTGCGGCACCTGCAGGTGAGTCGCACGCCCCGGCCTGTCCACTACGTGCCGGGTGCGTGGGTAGTGTCTAGTTGTGCGGGCAGGGATGGATGGTTGTATGTTCCTCCCCCCCTTTTAAAGGCCTTGTTTTCTGCCCCAGGTTTGCTTGGAAGACATTGAGAGGGCTCTTTCCCAGGGCTACCCTGCCGGGCTGCAACCCAAGGTCCTGCTCCGGAAAGCGGAGTGCTTGCTGCTGCTGGGGCAGTCGCGGGATGCGGCGGAGGCCCTCAGTGTGGTGGAGAGTCGGGTCGCTGGGGACGAGGGTCTGATGGGTGCTGCACGTCACACCCTGCTGAGCCAGATTGAGCAGCTCCGAGCACAAGCCCGTGAGCAGGAGAGTGACCCGGCGCCAGTGTCCGTGGCACTCGATGAGGCCTGGGAGGGCCGGGTGTCCCTGGAAGAGAATAGCCATCTCCCGGGTGCATCGTCGTCTGTGAGCTTGAGCTTTGATGCTTCCAGGGGACGTCACCTGGTGGCTGCCCAGGATATCCTGCTGGGGGAGAGCCTGTTGAGCGAGGAGGCCTTTGTAAGCGTGCTTAACCCGGGGGAGTGGGTGCTGCCGCTAGACAGTGTTGAAACCACGTGGGATACCAGCATCACTAACGAGGACCTTTACTGTCACCACTGCTTAAAGCAGCTCTTGGCCTCCGTGCCCTGCAGAGGCTGTAGCTATGCGAAGTACTGCAGCCAGGAGTGTGCGCAGCTGGCATGGGAGCGCTACCACAGGGCAGAGTGCTCCCTGGGGGCACTGCTGCTCACGCTGGGGGTGTTCTGCCACGTTGCCCTAAGGACGGTTCTGGTGGCTGGATTTGCAGAGGTTAGCAGGTTGGTGAAGCAGGCTTACAGAAATGACCAGAAATTTCACACCGCTGAGACTGGCAGGAAATATGCTGACGAGATGCCAAACTCCAGATCTGGTAGTGAGGGACCGTGTGAGAAAGGGGAGTCCCCAATTCCTGGTTGTGATGGCCGTGGGCAGTACCAGAGTTCTTACCAAGCTGTCTTCCATCTTGTACCACATGCTGAAAAGCACAGCCCTGAACACAAATTTCTTTGCTGCCTGAGCATAGTAGCGCTGTGCAAGAAACTGCAAGAAGCTGATCTGGAGGCCACCTTCCTTGGGCAGGGCTCACCTGAGAGCCAGCACAAGGGAGAAGTGTGTGAGACGGTGTCCGCTGAGCTGGAGATTCTGGGAGAGGCAATGCTGAGGCATATGTTACAGCTACAGTGTAATGCGCAAGCCGTGACTGGAATCCAGGAGTCAGGTTGGTGAGAAGCCTTAGGTTCTTCTCCCCTTCTGTCTTCGTTAGACTGTCCTGTGGGAGGAGTACAGCTCCTTTAAAGCATTCCCATTACCCTTGGCTAAGTGTCCCATTTCCTTAAAGCGCTGCGGTCACTTTCACAGGGAAACATCTGTTTCACATCTCTAGGCCTAGCACAGTGTAGGGCTTGGAGACTGCTCCTTGCCTGGATGTGGAGGCTAAAAATATGCTTCTTTAAATAAATGTATGTTTTAATACTTGGCCAGTAACAACCGAAACAAGATGTTTACAACCGTGTCCAAAAGGATGGAGTTTAGGAAGTCTCTGATTCATCTTTGAATTTAAATAGGGAGCTGATTGTTGAAGATAAATGCTGTGTTGCTGGACTGTGAGGGTGGGAATTGCCAAATTTAGTTCAACAACTTTTTGTTATATTAAGTCGTCTTTACTCTTTAAGACTAAGTGTAGTAACTGGCATAAAAGCACTGTACATTTGCTTTGTCGCATTTCCTGATCTGTTTGCCCCCTTTTGTTTGTGAATCTAGGGTCTGGAGATGGCACTGTAGTCAACAGGGAGCAAGTACGTCTGGCCACAGCTTTCTTTCCTGTGCTCAGCCTTCTTAACCATTCCTGCAACCCCAGCACTAGTGTGACGTTCAGTGGGACAGCTGTCACAGTCAGAGCTTCGCAGCCAATTCCAAGAGGGCAAGAGATTTTCCATTGCTATGGTATGTTATGGTCTCGCTGTTTCTGTACTACTTTCCCAGAATAATATGTAAGGTACATGAGTTGCCTTTCAACTATGACTTCCTTCCAGGATCCCAATTCTAAATGATATTTATACACGTGCATATGTGTAAGCACTGACATCCCCCTCTCTTTCCCTCCTTCCTCACGTTATGGTCAGTGTGTTTTATTTCTCTCATATTTTGACAAAGGTGGGGGTGGTTTTAGCTGGTAGTCAGGTACCTAGCTTCATGGTTTACATAACGCACTCTACTTCTTATTTTCTTTTCCAGGGCCTCACAGATGCAGAATGGGGGCTGCTGAGAGACGGCAGCGACTTCTTTCTCAGTATTTCTTTGTGTGTCAATGCCAGGCCTGCCAAGAGGAGTTAGGGTCTGATATCACCTGCATACCATCCACAACAGATGCATTTTGCTGTCCCCACTGCCAAGCTTCAATGCAGGTAACTGTTCCAGAATGAAAACTTATGCAACTCTTAAATTTGTTGCATCCTGATTGCAAAATAACAGTGGAAAGTGGGAGTCTGAGTCTAGGACTTATGCTTCTGTGGCCTGTAGTGGTGCAGAATTTGAGGAGATTCTCATTGTTCTCAAAGAAACCCCTGTGAAAGATTCTGGCTCGGACTCTTCCAGAACTTCCTGGGGGCATGTTTGCCAAGATCCTTGAGATGGTCCCAGGGTCTAGAACTAAGAAGAGGGTATTCACACAGAGACTGTCTAAGTTAGGTATAGCATATCCTGTGGAAAGGTGACTTAAAAAATAAGGTGGAGCTGTTGAGTCAGGCAGGAATAAGCACTGCAGGGTTGTATTATCTGGAGATTAGGTGGGTGTCTAACATCTCACTTTGCCTTGATCAGAATTGACTCAGTCTGGAAGCCTTGGTGGGACCGTGCCTACAGCTTCCTCTCTGTTGTCTGGGGAACGTGACACTTCAAAGGGACAGGTGCTTTTGTTTTAATGTGCAGCTGGGAAGCAGCAGTGCAATGGCCTTGTAAAGCAATTCAGGGGTGCAGAGGTAGAAAACTTAAAATTGCAGCATAGTCCACTTTCAGTGCACAGCCTTCAGACTGGAAAAGGCTATGTGCTTACCCAGCGGATACACTTAGCAAAATATAATGTAAACAGCGCTCTTGAAGTACTGAGTGCTGGTAGTGGTCTGGTATTAGCTGCCATGAAACTTTTGTTCCCTTCACTGGCTCCCCTTGTTGTTGAGACTACTAAGTTTCAGGATGGCTTTTCTAAGCCCTCGGATGGCAAGCATGCCATCAGTTTCAAAGCTTCTAATGACAGCCTTTTTAGATGTGCTAAGTGGTTCATATATGTACCTAACACTTGTTACAATGCAAGCAGTACGCAACAGATCATTGCTGACTATAGTGCAACTGAGTGAATTCTGCTTATCCTCTGTGTGTGTGCAGAAGTGACTGACTGACTGACTTCCACAGGGGGAAGACCTGCTCCAATGTTCCACTGGAGCCTGTGCACTTGCTGTCAGCAGGGATCGTCTCTTGGGGCGGTTACGGGACCTTCAGGGGCGAGTCAGGAGAGCATTGGAACTGCTCAAAGACGACAAGCTCGGTAGGAGTGGGCCCATCTGCCTTTGTGCTCATAATGAGCTGACCAGGGTCCAGAGTATGGGTCCCAGCCATCAGATGGCAGTGTTGCCTGCACAGTTGGGTATTCCTGATAGGAAGCCAGAGCCTGCGGGTGGGGTAGAGGCTGTGCAAGTGCTAGACTGTGGCAGGCTAAATGACCCATCTGGTACAGCAAGAGAGCCTGAGGAAATGTTTAAAGCTCAGGATCCCAGACCCTATTTTCCTTCTGGGTCCTAGCCCTGGTGACCTTGCATTAGGATAAAAGGTCTCCATGTGGATTGAAACAGAACTCTTACCTAATTCTGCAAGCCCAGCGTACAAAGTCCAGGACTAATATCTCAAGGCCTGGAGGTGAGGGGGAGAGTGTGGCTAGCTATGAGCTAGCACCTAGGATGGATTTGTATCTCTCATTAAAGTGCTTGTATATATTGAATTTACAGAGCAAGCTGTAGAGCTGCTGCTGATGTGCTTGATGGATGCCAAGTGCTTCCTGGCCCCAAAGCATATGCTGATGGGAGAGATTGAGGATCATCTGGCTCGGGGTTATGCCAGCCTTGGTACAGTGCCCTTCTCATCTACAGTCTTGTGCAGGGTTGTGTGTGTGAGTGCGCATGAACTCTCACGTGCTTGGGCGGCTTGTGCATTTTGATATGATGGGGAGACGGTTCCCTGATTAGTCTATTTACTTTTCTTTCCTCCTGTCTCTTACTCTTATTGTATTTTGCAAATCTTGACAGCTCAATTTCCAGCAGCTGGAGACTGGCTCTGTGACTTTGAGCACCTCTGTTTCCCCCTCCTGTACAAGGAAGACGAGAACCCTTCTTTACGTGTTTCGTAGTTGGTCGGGTTGGAAGGGACCTGAGCAGATCATCAAGTCCGACCCCCTGCCCTGGGCAGGAAAAAGTACTGGGGTCAAACAACCCCAGCAAGGTGTTCATCCAGCCTCCTCTTAAAGACCCCCAGGGTAGGAGCCAGCACCACTTCTCTTGGAAGTTGGTTCCAGATCCTAGCTGCCCTGATAGTGAAGTAGCACCTCCTGAGGTCTAATCTGAATTTACCCTCTGCCAGCTTGTGACTGTTATTTCTAGTCACTCCTGGTAGTGCTCGGGGGAGCAGGGACTCCCCCAATGCCTGCTGGTCCCCTTGACCAGTTCGTAAACGGCCACCGGATCCCCCATCAGCCTTCTCTTGTGGAGGCTGAACAAGTTCAGGTCCCTTAGCCTCTCCTCATAGGGCCTGCCCTGCTGCCCCCGATCATGCAGGTGGACCTCTTCTGGACCCTGTCCGTGTTGTCCACATCCCTCCTGAAGTGCAGCACCCAGAACTGGATGCAGTACTCCAGCTGCGGCCTGACCAGCATCGTATAGAGCGGGAGGATCACCTCCTTGGACCTGCTCGAGATGCATCTGTGGGTGCATGAGAGAGTACAGTTGGCCTTCCTGATGGCTTTCCCACACTATCGGCCCGTGTTCATTTTGGCATCAGTGATGACTCCAAGATCCTTTTCTGCCTCTGCACTGACGAGAAGGGAGTTCCCCAGCCTGTAGGTATGGTGCTGGTTCTTCCTCCCAGGTGCAGCACCTTGTACTTGTCAGTGTTGAAACCCATCCTGTTCTCGTCCGCCCACCCCTGTAACCTGTCTAGGTCTGACTGCAGCCTATTCCTCCCTTCCAGCATGCCCACTTCCCCCCGCATCTTAGTGTCATCTGCGAATTTGAACAGGTGCTTTTTACCCCCTCGTCCAAGTCACTGATGAAGATGTTGAACAGTGCGGGCCCGAGGACTGCAAGTGGGAGAGGAACACTGGAAAAACCCTGGTTATACCCTGTTCACTCCCTTTTAGTATTAGCTCTGCCACTGTGTGACACAGGAGATTGGGAAAGATGGACTTATAATCTGACCTAGTAAAGGGAAGTTTTTTATGTTCCCTGGGAGGTGGAGGGAAGGGGGACATCATGATCCTATGGGGCCTAGCTGCTAAAGGTTTGTAAAGTCCTTCTGAGTGTCTTTGGCAGGGGCTATAGAAACGGAGTTACAGTGATCCTTTTTTTTTCCTGACAGGGAAGTGGCAGGAAGCAGCCAGACACCTACAGAGCAGTATTCAGGTTGTGGAAGCATGTCATGGTTCATCCAGTGTGGAAATGGGTCACGAGCTCTTTAAGCTGGCACAGATCCTTTTCAATGGGTGAGAGCCCAATTTCCCATCCGTTCCTTGCGCTAGTTCACGTGCCTTATGTTTCTGAAATGGTGATGGGTCATGCAGTCCTTGCCATGTGTATCTGAAATGGTGATGGGTCATGCAGTCCTTGACAGGGTTGGCTCAGTTGCAGGCTGCCTTCCAGGACTCCAAGAGTCTGACAGAGGAGGAACAGTTGTCCCTGACTCAATCAAATGCAAGCCTCCTTCAGTGGGCTGCTGGGGTCCATCGCCACCAAATATTTTTGGCTCCCTTCAGGCTTCTTTTGTTCCCTTTGCTGTTGCAACCAGCACCTTTTAAAGTGATAGCACCACAGTTTATTTCCTTCTTATCATCCTCTTATTACCCAGGCAGCAGTCCCTTGATTTTCCTGGCAGAGCCCCTCCCAACAGTTGACCTGACTGGACAGTCTCCCACCCTAGCTGAGCACAGGTCACTTACCTGGCTTTGAAAGGGTGAAACTGGGTTTGGCCCCTACAAGCAGGCAAGTTAGTTGTTTGTCCTAGAGAGAACGTGAAGAAGCGTCTGATCTGGACTGACCTAAGGATGGGGGGGGGGGGG